ATGCTTCCTGCTTATCACCAATTCAACTTTAAAGGCTCTGACTTACACATGATGAAAAGGTTTACGGATTACATCAGAACTGTGACATGACACGAGATTCTTAAAATTGATCTGTTTCGTATGTAAACCATTCCTACAGTGTTGTATCATTAATCGCATCCAAGATTTTTGTGCACAAACACCCCCACAAATTAACCTTGATGCTTTGAATCTTATCTTCAGGATTAGGTTTCCCACTGGTGGACAAATTGATGGCATTCAGAAAATACCTATTCCGAGTTTCATCTTGGGAGAGGTTTTTTGACATTTTAAATGACGTGCTGCCTTGGAATCAATGTACGCCATCATGTAAAGTGCTGTTTGTGGTTAGGTTATCTTTAGAGACAGCAATGTGTTCTCCCATGTCACATGAACATTTGAACATTTGAACTAAGAGACGTGGAAACCAGCCAGCTAAAAGCGGTTTCCTCTGATGTGTACTCTCTTTTGGTGGTTTGTTTGTCGGTGGTTGAGTCTATGTGGAAAACATCACTAAGAATTACAGTGACAAACAATCTCTTGATTCAGAAGTGAAACCGTGAGGAACTTATGAAAAACATCTCTTCCTGTTACCAACGTTAGTTGAATGCTACCAGAAATGAAGCTAATTCATCAAATTCAACTGAAAGAATTAACCATTTCAAAAACCTTTCTAAGAGGAACGTTCTGTAACGAAGGGGCGTGTTACTCATGAGTGATCACGTTGTATGGACCTGTCAGGTACGAATAGAAGTATCGATCGAGCAGACTGCTAGAGAATGAGACTGGAAAAATTAGTCTGGATTATATTCGACATTTTCAGTGTTGCGAACGACTGTCGGACTCCACTCCGACTACAGAAAACAAAAACACAAGTAAACTCAGTAGGCATACACTTGTATTTCCGTTCAAAAGTACAAAGATGCATGAAGATTATGAATACTGTCACCTCCTGCGGAAAAGGTCAGTTACTTGAAAGGCCACATCACAGGAGAAACTAATTAACGTTCAATTTCTCTAGATTGTTCAGGCAGCGAATTAATTCAAAGAAGAGGCCACCATGAAGAACAGAGCACAGGTTTTAGGCCTCCTTAGGAGTAACACCGGATGATAAGTGGATGGATGGACAAACAGATAGACGAAAGGATTATGCATGGATATATTAGATGTAATATATCATATTATATATACTATATATTTCATGTCGTATATATGTTTATTTATACACATTGATATGCACTACTCATTGGTATGCTACCAATTTATCTATTTGCCTGGCCTACCAATTCAATATAGATGTTTTTACTGCTACAACCACTAGACGTAAAATACCATGTGCATTTTGTTTAATCGAATATGATGTAAAATATAGCACTCATTCCTTTGGTATGGTTGAAAAAGCACGGGAGCCGTTGTACAAGGTCACAGCAACAAAAAATTTCTGGCTCCCGTAAACAAGGTTCACACAAAGACTTTTTCAAATTTTTGCGACAAAAGCCTTCTCAAGAGAAGAATTTTTCAGTAAACTTTAACTTTGAAAATTATCACCTGATTAGTGATCAATCTTCGGTCCTGAAGATCAAAGAAATTTCACTTCGTGTTCATCACTGAATTCAGTATAAACGTGACAATGGTTTAAGAACTCCCAGCATGCTTTTTGAATGTCATTTAAGCTCCACCAAGCAGATCACTGAATTCGCACTGTTTTGGATCATTTAGGTTGTATTTAAAGCAACCCACCAATATATAGACCAGTACTGGTCCAAGTGGATTTTCGTCGTTACACTCTCGGTTTGTTAATAACAGAAGTGAGCACATTTGATGCACGGAAGCAACAAACTTTAGGGAAATTCGCCCGAAAGTTGAGATAGTACCCACGACACCTTGAGCAGAGTGGCACATTTGGTAAATAAGGTTCCTGTGGTTCCAAAAAAACTCGTGGAGGCCTTCATCAAACACCGTCGACTGAACGCGCTTTTTGATGTAGTTATCAGCTCATACTTGTGTCGCGTGTGGTAAGACGTGGGGTGCCGCGCGCACAAGCTCAGTGTGCCAGCTGGCGTCTTGTCCACAAAGTCGTGTTTGTAGTTGACCTCAAACGTTATTTACTGATGATTCTTGCTGCGCTTTGTTTGGGTCATGATCTGTTCGCCTCTGGATGATTCTCAGTCGGCTGTATTGCTTTCCTCTCCGAACAATTTTAGACAACTCAACAGTAGTTAGAACATTTTGTCTTATCACTAGACCGTGAGATTCATTAGGGAGAAACTCTAAGAGTATGCGTAAACTATTCCACCTGATGCGTGAGGCAACCTTGCAGGGGCCTGCGGTAAGCGAAACAATGATTGCAACGGCTCGCTCCTCCCTAAAAAAGGCTGCCTTAATCGTTCCGGTGAACACTTTCAACAACAGTTCAGCTAACCATCTGCAGTTGCACACCATCAGGCCTGGAGAACGTAATGGGGACATCCGACCTCTTCGAAAGTGAGCGGGTACCCTTTCTCTTTCAAGTGTCAGCAATCAGTTGGTCTCGCTCTGTTTCTGAAGATGGAGGTGGAATCCTTAGTTGGTACCCGTCCAAATTCCTTGCTTCTGTATGTGTGAAACAGACCGTCCGAAAAACTAGGGTGAGTCAACAGCGATGCCCATTTTCAGAAAGGGTACTCGTAGTGAATGTGGCACTCACTTAGGAAGTTGCTTGACGTTGTAACTATACTCTTTGACTAGACAAGGGGCATTAAGATGGGACCCGAGAACAGCAAACAGGATTCCTGCAGAGAAGGGGTTGTGTGAATCACTTTTACACACTTCACCAAGTGTTGGAGCAAGGGGTTGTTTAAACTTCGAGAGCGCATTCGGCCCTGTAGGCCGGTTAGCTCTAATCAACACGCTTGGGCAACAGAGTGTACCACAGAGGTTTGTGAGTAGCGTGCTATGTTTGTGATCATATACATGGTGGCGAATGAGAAAGTATGAGGTGCAGGGATGTCCCTGAATTAAAAAAATATTGGTGATATAGTGAGGCGGACAAGAGATGTTCTTCAAACCCCGATGTTCAGATCGCTGCGAGCGAGCACTTGTCGGCCTGGAATATGCAGATTAGATTTTTGTTATTTCTGAGAAGAAGTAGGAAGCAAAGGCATTACTTGAGAAGCTGACCAAGGTCATCCAGTTCTTCGGTATGTGCTTCGCGCCAATGAACTGCAAAGTTTTGCCGAAGAATGTACAGTCTTTGAACATGTTTCTTAGAGTTCAAGGAGTGGAAGTCCTGGAACACTTTACCTATCATGAAACTTGCATTAGTTCAGATAGTAGTGTGACAGACAAAGTGAACGCTTGAATCTCGAAGGCCAAAACTGGTTTTACAAGTTAGCGTCACTTTGGTGCCAAAAAGGTATATTCATGGGTCTCAAAGGATGCGTGTGTCAGACTACAGTGCGGGTTGTATTGTACAGCTGCGATACTTGGCTACTTCGGACCCGGGATCCTCGACATCTTAAAGTCTCTAGTCACAGATGCTTCAAAAGTATAGCTAAAACCGTTTGTAACCGGTGAATTGGCGAAATAGTGGACAGAATTTCACTTGGCAAAAGGTAATGAAGGATTTCACTAAATCTTGGGTGCTGTTTGTGCTGTTCGCCTTTCAGGATAGGTTATGCGCGCTTGATTGGGACACTGGAAAATATGGCGGCTAAACGAATTCGGTGGCGTTCATGTTTTCAGCCTCTACCCAGAATGTCTGATTTAGTGTTGGGAAATTTTGGACCTTGGATATTTGAAGTAGACTAACACAAATCCGCTTCTCGCTCCATTTCTTTCTTCTTTTCTTTATGAAGCCTTGGTTAAATTAATCGATACGGTCTTAGGACACTGATGCACCAATAGTCTCATTTGGTATTGCTGTCGATATTGTTGCTACTGCTGCTGCTGATGATGATCACGATAATGAGATCGATCAGAGTGTACGAGGGGCAATCCACCATGATAAAACCGCTGTGTCCACCAAGATATCCTCAACTAAATGATATGTGCTTTACAGTGGGATCGTTCTAATGATGAGGTACATCTATTCTGCTTGTCCACTGTAGTGGTGGATTACCTTCGAGCGTTCTCATGCAGTATTCTGGAGTTGGTCGTTTTTTTTACAGATTCTCCACACTTGCATTAGCTTGCCTCGAGGCTAAACCAGGGCAGCCGTAAATGAGCGGTTAATTCCCATAGCCAGTGTTTTCCGAAAGTGCATCAATCATACATAGATTGACTACGCACATCAAAGCAAAACCTCCAACAGTTGAAATTTAACCTCAGTTAGATTAGTTTTGTTCCTCGCGTGTCCATCCGGTTAGCTTAAAATTCGTTCGTAATGTTGACGTATTAATTAAAAGACTTACCAGGTCTTCTTGTTGATAGAGGAGTTAGATTTTTGTTGGTAGTTTGAAGGACTTAGATATATCGACAGAGAGTAAAGCCAATGTATGCCAAAAAGCCTAGATTTATCGTACTGTTGTTTCTTCCTAGTTGACGATCAGTAACAGTGCGCAATCTACAAAACTCTGGAGAGCTTATCCGTCTAAATCCTGGCTAGTAGTTGGAATTTGGATCGTTCGGTCACAACGGGCGAGATAGCGAAAGTGGTTAGAGTCTGAATTTCCTGACTGGAAGGTCCGTGGTTCGAACCCAACCTCTGCCACTCGACTTCCTCTGTCTAGGCTTGGGCAACCTGGCCCTCGTGCAACCTTCGGGTGGCATGACAGTTGGGCACTGAAAGGGTGTTACAGCTGAACGACTTCTTTCTTTCGGTCAGGACGGGATGATCAACACTGTGATAGGATAAAGCACCACACATCCGTTAGTCACGCCTCTTGACTAAAGTAGGGTTTAATACACTACTTGTAAGGTTGCTGGAAATTCTTCAACAGCCTACGACTGGGTTCGCCCTTCTTGGGGCTCATCAGGTGGGCTCATTCCCCGGGCTACTTTAGGCGGCTTGGTGCAGCACATTCGGTTGCTTCGAAACATCGTAAACGAAAGATTCAACTGGGTTCCAGGTGGGTCTCTCACAAGACCAGACTTGTTTGCAACTGAGTGTATTTCGTTAACGTATTGTTTTCCTCCATATCAACGCCTATCAACAATAAAAATCCAGTTAAACTGATTTCATTCACACCCTTTGGAGCAGTTAATTCATTCACTTAACCTCGTCTCTGACTTTCATCGGGTATGATTTCATCTTCCGTGTTCATTTCCAAGAGCTCTAAGTAACGGACAGCAAGCCTTGGAGAAGCACTAATCTAACAGTGTTCTACGAAACACTGAAAACTGATGAACATTTAGGTGTGAGTGTATGACCAATCTTCAATGTCACCTAGTAACACTGAAAATTAGGCACCTCTCATGCAGAAGTATTTTGACGATGTTCCCAATTCGTAAGCATTTAACTGTAATGAAAGCGAATTGACCAAGTTTGTTTTTGAGCACATTTTTACTCAGATGTTCAGAACACTTGTGCACCCATCTCTAGCGTCCTAGCGTAAATCGGACGTGCGCATTGTGAGGGACTTAGCACTGTTTTATTCCTCCCACATTTGTGAGATGTGAGTATTTTTCAGACTTCCTTATAAAACGAAACGGACGTTATATGACCACTCATTTAGTGTTAACGCGATACAGGGCGGCGTGCATTAGCTATCCACTATGACGATATACAGCATAGTGAACCAGTTTATTACCGAAATACAGCTGCTTGCGTCTTACTCATAAAAAATCATGAAGAGTTTCCCACTTTTCCTGGAAAAATAAGGTTGGTAAAAATCGATTTACGGTTGATTCTTAAGAGCTTTTGAAGTGTTGTTCCAGGTGTGTTTTTGACGGGAAAAGGTCTGTCCAATTTTAATCGATTACATGTGCTGGTAGGAACGACTCTCATAAACTGGGATACCGAATATTTTTTTAAATATTTAATGCATGAAAATTTGAAATATATCGTGTTTTTTCATACCAGCCCTAGTTTCGTTTCAGCTCCTAGACAAGCCAAACTCAATTTGACCATTTTGCGGACGGAAACATGTTGCCTTTAATAGCCTGTCTGAACTCGTTGGCAGGCATGACCATCAGGATTGTATCTAATAAAAGACAAAGCAAGCCTGATCTAGGGCAGATTGAAAGGAACTTCGAGAGAATGGGCAAGTTAATTGCAGTCATACACGTTCTTGCTGCACTTCTTTAGGTGCACAATACGACTCACGTATCAATCAGACGAGGACTCGGTTACCCGTTCATGTACGTAGTCACAGAATTGGTGGATTGAAATAATTGTTTTGTGCCCTGAGTATACAGATTTCAAACGCTAGCACCATCAAAACTATAAACTCATAATAAACTCATCTAATTCTACTGAAACTACAGACTGGTGCTTCGAATTTGGTTTGAGTCATTGGGATAGGTCTCACAGTGACACGATCTAGGATATGGATCGAACTAGAATAATGCCTACGTAATTGCAGTACATACATCCACTACTGAAAGCTTTCGAACTTGGTTCCACAAGAAGCTGCAGCGGTGCTCTGTCAGGTCTCATTACAGTTCAGAATTCAGACTTCAAACTTCATTACAGTTCAGCTAGAACACATCAGTTGAACGGACGATAGCGACTGTGTGTGATAGCTGTATGTTGTAGGAAAATTTTTTTTCGTGAAAACGTAGTGAGATTCCAAGAAGCACGGTTTTTCATCTTTGTTAGAGTCCATCAGGTGAGTATAAACGTACCGGACATATGACACTATTTGTAGGTAGTCTTTGGTTTTTATGCAGGGATATTCCGAGTTGGATATTGATCAGACCTGATCGTTGGTTTGTTCCTTGAGCTGGGCAATTTAATTACAAACAATTCATCACCAACCGAGGTGATATCATCACTGCGTTGTTAGAGAACGTATCGGTGCTAACCACCAACCCATCACTGCGGTCCCTAAGAACGTACCAATGATGTTACTTCGATTGCTGGAGAAAAAACGAAACGTGCATGTACGCCACCTGAGCTACCAACGTTCTCCTGTACGATTAGATCTGTTGAGAGGATCCAGGATAAGTCAGATAAAAACCTGATTATTTGCCAGCATCCGGAGTGATTTCTGAGAATTGGTGCGCACCTAAGCTGACTTGAACTTTGACGTGTCACAGTAAGCTATTGTTTGCGTCATGAAACGTGGCTGGATTTGTTAGTGGAAAGTTTGCACCAGGCCATGCAGAGTAACCTGTTTAATTTTCATCATTTCTAGTTATAAACAGTTAAAACTTAATTTTTTATTAGCGTATCTGGGTTTTCCTTGCTGCCAGAATAACTTCAGTCAGTATAGTTGGAGTGCCTAATTGCTTTCAAGGATGTCTGTAAAACCCCTTTCTTGCGACGCGGTCTGAAATTCTTCCCTCCACTGGAACAATAGGTGATTTCATTCGTTCAGATGTCTGGAGTAATATTACATGGCTGTAGACAACATTCGAAAAGAATATTGCTTGTGGTACAAGCCTGGACTGTAGATGCTACTAACATTTGCATTACAGTGAGCATAAACGTCTGGCCGGGCTCGAAAAGTGGACAACCAATCGACCCGTTCTCATGATGAGGTGAAAATACCTAATATTAATTTAGGTTTTAAGTGGGAGGGAGGGTGTGAAGCTGCCGGGCGAATAGCTTCGGACAGGCCAAAAGGCACTTGCTTACGGAGAAACTTCTGTTTGGTAGTGTCGAGTGGAAATAAGGACAGAAAAAAGTAGGATCACACATGGTGATCAGTAAGTAGAGAGGAAGGAAAACGTTCGCACTTGTACGTAGAATATTGTTTATAATAGAGGGACCACACAGGTGGAATAGTCTAAGTGATTACACCTGGGCTGGTTGTGCTTACGTACGGGAAATCAGTGTGATTGGCATTAGTACAAGCAAACAATACTGCACGTGTGTCTAATTCTGCTGTTGCATTAGTCCATTATATGCTGTCTAATATAAACAATATATCCTTTCAAAGACCACTCTCTCATCTCTGAGAACCGATAAACTTGTAGAAGCAAGAATACCTCGACCGGAAGGCCACCGCCTATCATTATGTTCCTGTAGAAACGAGTTCCCTGGTGGCGCATGATTAGGTTTTGAACACTGAATTTTGTCCAAAGTGCTTGGGGTTTCATCAAACTCACTTCATGTTTAAGTGAGAGAAAGTGAAAAAAAGGTTGTTGTTGTTGTAGCAGTCAACATCCTTTCAATTATATAAGCAGGCGTACAACATCAGGCATCAAAACGCGTTTACATCCATCTCATCGAATCCAGTGAAAGTGCTATTGGACGCAAAACATGGGATTTGCCCACCAGATGACAAACTTGGTCCATTCCACGTTGCCTAGACTGACATAGTCCGATGTGTGTTCTCATGGTTATTACACATTTCCCGCTGTTCGTATGAATCCATAAGCTGGGTAGAGGGATTTAACTAACTCTCCGAATCTTCTTAATAGTTTCTGGGTGTCTACAGTTTACTGACATGGTTGGATGTAAATGCAATGTAAGACGACAAAGTGTTTGGAGCCTGATGAGAGAAATGACTTGTATGAGCCCCTCTCCTTTGAGATGCACAATTATTCGTAAAGCTTCTTCACAAAAATAGTTAGAGATCCTGAGAAATGTTGACAACAAACTTGGATTAAGGTCACTCTATCACTTCAGGTGTGTAATGGAGAACAGTATCAGGTAAGATAATAAAAGAGAATTAGTATTACCTTCCGGATTTCAAAGGGGAGCTCCAACGATATGAGCGACTACTTTGGTTTACACGTCTTTGGTTTCATCTAATGATGGCAATGCATTCAGCAAAACGTAGTGTCTTATATATCCTATAGACGTACACAATACGGGATGCGGTTGCCGGCTAGACACAGATCCCACCCTCAGGTAAGCGACGGGTTGCTCATGAAGCCTTGTCGGTTGTTTAGTTGATAACGAATTTAAATTTCGGATTGGGCTTGTTGTGGAGGATTGATCGATTGGTTGCGGTATTCAAATCGAGGTATGTTCCGCTCGTCTGAGTCTACGTTTCCTAACAGCTCTGTCAGGGCACGCAACCGAGCACATACACGTGAAACGGTAAGCGAGACTGAAACTGGTGTATCGAGTTAGTGAAACTTTGCCTGTGGAGATCGGGAATCGGTTTTATTTATGGATGAGTGCAGATTTGGCAACAATGTAGGAACGTTTAATAGATGAAGTTAAAATACTGCTCCACCGACTCCGTGATGTCGACGAGTCGGGCACACTAATCGCATCGCTCAAGCTTGAGCACTTTCGCCCGTTCAGACGTGAAAATTCAGATACCTCCAACGTGCGTTGGTCGAGTAGTGCTTACACGCTCGCCTCGCATGTCAGATGTCCGGGGTTCAAATCCCGGCGTGGCCATTGGATATACACTACTGATGAGCTCTAGTAAGGGTGAAACTCGAGTCCAGTGCTTCCCTTTGGGGTGGACTCACCGGAATAATTACGCCAGAACAGGAATATGACCGTTCAACCGAGAGTGGTGTGATTATACACAAACGATCTATCCCACAAAACCCCAAATTGCAATCATTAATATATCTCCTGTGAATGTCAAATTGAGTAACTTGGAAAATATGTCGACACGGCGTCTGCTTTCCACATCATCTGCAGGACCACGAGCAGTAGAGTACTACATTTTGCTCAATCCATCGCTATCAGAAGGTTGAAAGGAGCATAACAAGGCGTCATCATTATTCTTGGTACCGCCTTGGTGTGTGACTTGTATTCGACACCCTGTTTTATTGACTTAAGTGACATTGTTCCCTAGTATACATCGTTACTGAGCTTGTTCAGAGGTGTGTCTTATGGTGTATGTGTTCCGAATTGTTGTTATCTGTGTTAATAGTGTCTCTCTTGGGTAAAACGCAGCCATAAGCATTCGGTCAATCTCCAATTCAACTGCCGACAACCGCGGAGAATCTGATCTTGAGATGTTTCAGCATCTAATTACTCTAGATGGCCAGTCTCGGTAGCTTATGAAGCTTCTGGGGTGCACTACCAAAAAGTTGTGTGGCAAAATACGAATTTCTGATGTCTAATCTATTTAAAACGCCCAAATTCAAAAATGTATCTCCGTGGTCAGAGCACTTCTGAAGGAAGAAGCGTACCGACAAGAACCCGCTGATTGCGCAGATACCACAAGGTAAATTCAGTACTTGTGCCAAAAACTCTGGACGATAGAAGCTATCTCATGCCAGGCGGTACGTATTCTAGAAATTCAGAATTTCGGCTATGGTCCACTTGAAAATCTGTATGCCTCTGCGTGGTATTTAGCCCGGGGTATCTGATTACCCCTGGGGACTGAGCTTAGTGTTGAATGCCATGTCTATCTGAGATTCCAACAGGTGATGGGCACGAAGAAATCGCTCGAGATATTCGCCACAACATTTTTGGTCCGGGCACATTGCAAACGCCTGGTCTGAACTAAGAAATTTTGACCGTAGTTTGTTCACGGCAAGTTTATTCAGGCACCCAGCCAATGCCTGGGTAGTCTTGATGAGTCAACGGTATCTCGGGTGGCCGCCCCGTTCACAGGGTTTGTGACTCTGGACACAAAAAAGATATAGAAAATATGGAGGTGTTCGGTTTCACAACTAATTTTATCTCAATTCAATACAAAACTAAAAGGTATACTTCTGTCCAACAGTTTACCGGCTCCAGAACACTTGATACATTCGATTCGCGCTGTCTGTAGAAAGTGTCTAGCTGTCAGATCAAACGATCTGTTGTGACGAATAGGTTAGTAACTAATTTGCATAAAAAGAGTCTCTGAATAAGTGCTGTTATAATTCTTGTTCGACTTTTGATAAAGCAAAATGAAAGAAAAACTTTTGGAGGATTTTGGATATTTTGTTTGTCGCCGAACTCCTCTTTGTGTGCCAATTTGCTTCCTGGTTAATCCAGTATTTGGACTGCCCAAAATCGAACACCATTCGATATCATTTAATATCGGGCACGAGAGTTTCACAACCTTCAAGTCATCCTGAAGGATAGGTATCCCAAATTGCACGAATCATTGTTCATCTTCTCTCCCACATCGTCCGGACGCAGACTATTAGAGAACTTCCAGACTCTATAACTTGTCACTTTGTTTCTCCTCGTCTTTCTCGCTTCGAACTTCCCATTTTTTCAGGATCATCGTCAGTCAACTGGCCATAACTCACCTTTCACATAGTCCACTGAGATTGACTGGTGGGATGTTGCAAAACGCTTGTGAAAAGTTGGTCGAGATTTCCCAAGTTTGTTAGTGGAGTTAACCGCAAAATTTTACCATGATTGTTACTCCAATCAATCTGTTTGACGGCTAGTAACTGGTCGCAGATGCATTCAATCAGTCAGTCAGGTGCAACGGGTCATGATAAAACTTGTGTAGATGGTTTACGATAGTGATGACAAGAGTAGGGTGGAAATACAGACATTTGGAGAGACTGGTTTGTTTATTGGGCTAGTTGTTACAGACACAATGCATACAAGTGTGTGGTAATTTTTCGTTGTCTGATTATGAGCACCGGGTGCTTTTCTTTGGTTGTTCGCAATTCAAATGGTCTATGCAACAAGTGTTCTCAAGCAGGTTGGGATACTCTGCCCACAAACTCTGAATACGAAGACAGTCCATTCCTATTAGCCCGCCACTTCAGAATCAAGGCGAGAGTAAAGCTACTGTGGGAAGCGGACCGTGGTAAAAGTTATGGATCGATTCCCTCTAGCTGATCAGCAGCGTGTTCTCACCGGATGTTTGGACACATCCAGATAGTAGCCATTATAGTGCAAACAATCACGGGTTTTGTGCATTAAGATGATAAAAAATTATTGCTTGGAAACCATAACAAAATGTGATTTACCGTTAACTGGCAAAGGAATAGTCCGATAAGTTTGGAGACCCTTATAAGAACGCGGGGGAAGGAGTGTGATGCCTCGCTTTTCAGTTGATAAAGTTATCAAGCAAATCCATGGGTATTGAAGGGTTATTACACTATCAAAAGCTATAATACGGAATAAACTCAGTACATTAAACAGGAAATACAAAAAAATCAGACTGACCGGATCGGTTGTCGATCAGTAGACCACTGAGCTCCGGCCATCATCGAGATAATCTTGCTTGTCGATAATTTAGGTTTTTACAGGCGTTAACATAGCGTGGGAACACGCGTGATTAGAATCTGAGTTTTTCCCTCTCAGAAGAATTACGCATTCTGAGTTGGACGCGAGATTCGACTGTGATATTGACAGACTTGCAGCTGGTGCTTTCCAGACTATATGACATTCGGAAGGCTTCCAGTGGATGATCTTTCGCCTTTCTGTGGCACGCGCACAGTAATCATAAACCCCATGTCAACTGACCAAAAGCCTTACACCTGAATATGCTTGGTCAACTTGGACACTCATAACGTTTTGTACTATCGAAATATGTGGGCTTTCGATGTCGTGACAGACCTCTATAAAACACATTCGAAGCTGCGGTTTGTCTGACTGTATACTGTCACGTCAAACAACCGCAGTCGGTGGCGCCAAACTTTATTGATCCCAACTAATATATAGATAACCTAATCGTTTTTTCAATCCAGTTCAGATGCTTTTCAGCTCCGGGGCTTAGTGTGACACCCAAGCCGTAGACGCCACGAGCCAGTGACATTCAAGACAATCAAATGCCTGCGAGTGAAAGCTTAGGTAATCGCACTCATTTTAACCGACTGCTGCAGATGCTCAAGATGATGTATTGTAAAATGGGTTTGAAAACAAAAATCTACATAGGGGAAAAAGAATGTGCGATTTGGAGAAACATCTGTGCCTCCGACTAACAAAGTATACGGAAACTGAGAAAGTCCACATCGTCAAGCCGTTCGATTTAAATTTGGATCAGCTGACCGGGTGTTTTAGTCTCATCTACTGAGTGGTGATATGTGATTGGAATTTCGCCCCTATATTTGACGACCGAAAATGACAGAAAGTTCAGATGATCGCTGGGAAAAAGCCTTAGGTAGCAGTAGTCATCCGAGACAAGGAAAGACTATATTGTCCCTCAAACATTTGGCTTAAATCTCCGGACAAGGTGGGAATCAGTGATTGTATTGTTTGATCCTCATAACAGGTGACAACCAGGGAAAACCATACTTTGAAATTTATCCAGAAAATGAGATTCAAACATGACTATCCTCCTCGTTGGTTACTTTATTGGTCGGTGTTTTTGTACTGGTTATTCGGACCAGTATCACTCTCCACTGATATTCATTCATCAGGGTAACTCAACATCATGGACATTTCAAAATTGAATTCTGCAGAATTAGGCACCTTCTCATTCGGTTAAATGAGTCC